GAGTCGTGGCGGCGCACGTAGGCGGAGCACTCGTCCCGCTTCTCAAGGAGGCCGGCGCACTTTGGCTATGAATATTAATAATAATGTCACTACTTGAAATTTTTTCGATATATATATATATATATATTTTCATTTAATTAATCGAATTTCCAAGTTCCAATATTATTGCAATAATTGAAGTTTCAATAATATTTAGCATCTCTTGACATTATAAAAAATTTCCACATCATCAACTTTTGAATGTGTCTTACTAACTTATCCTACGATGCATCTTGTCATGAACTCTTTCATGATGAGGTGGATAACATTTAATATTAACAATGTTGAGCACACTTTCTAATATCTAACATCATGTTAAACATGATAACTCATCGATTCACCTTATTTCTGGCTTAATTTTTTACTGTTCTTCTATTAATAAATTATTTTAGTTGGCCCACCTATACAAATAAATTCTTATCAAATTCATGAATTGGAGATACTAATTTGATTCAAATTTCTCATATTTTAACATTATTCCTATGTGGATTAACATTGCAATAATTGATTGACACGTGTTAAAAATAATTGTCCTTCAAAGTCATAACATTGGAGATACTCTTAGATTCACTTTATATATATAATTTAGACATTATTTATACTTTCTATACAAATTCATTTATTTCAAACTTTATTTATTTATTCTAGCCATCAAACTTGAGTATTAATGAAACTGTAGCTCGAGTTTTAACGAACCAAACCCTAAAAAATTATATTAAAAAAATAATCTTTTCGAACTTTATCGATAGTCGAGCTCACGAGCGACTTATTTCTATTAACAACTCTAGATATATATATATATATAGAGGATAGAGTTATATATATATATATGTAGTTCATCAATTGCACTAATCGTACCATATGTTACGTTTGGATTGTTAGAGTAGACAATCACACTTACTAGTTGATGTTTTGATTGCATTTCAAATTCACAAATTTGCTTCAGCTCCAATTTTCTAACAAAAAATATATATGAAATAATATACTTTTAGTTACATTGTTATAACATGTAATTTGGAAGTATGTGAAATTATGTATTGTTGTGGATTAATTGTGGAGCTCTAATTTGTGAAGACTTAAACTTATCTTGCTCCATACAAGGCAAAATCTAATTATGTACAATGTTATAGACTCGTTACAAATATGTGCCGTCAAAAAAAAAAAAAAAAAAATCCTTTCACCATGAGTTAGCAAAAATTTATTTATCGCGATTAATTATTTTTTCTTTTTCCAAAGAGACTTCTTTTAATCCATAAGAAATATAACTCCACATTGGGCCTTAATGGCCACTTTCAAGTGCATGTGTTGTACCACATTAACTTGGGCCTAACTCTTGTTCAAACATTAAGTCTGGGCTGAATTGGGACAATATCTAAATTTCATCAAAACTCGTAAAACCAACAGGAAATGCAACATCTGGAATCATTCCATTAAATTTGTATTCGTTGAATCATCATGTAACTGTTATGTACTCCGTGGTTCCGTAACGGGACATTTGAATATCCCAAAACCAACACCCTAAAGTGAATTAAAAAAAATGATCAAGATAAATAATTTCCATCAATTTGAAACATAATCATGTATTATCCCAATGACAAAATTCTATTTTCTACCACGTAAATTATGAAATGACAAAAAGTTTAAATTAAAAGGAAAAAACATTCAAATAGCGAGAAAAATAAAATGCGAAAATGAAAGTAAAGAAAACTAGACCAGAAAGTAAATAATAATAAAAAAAAATAAAACAAAGAAGAAGATGATGAAAGAAAAAAGAGGATCGCACTGCACCAAGTGCGCACATGGCGAAAATCTTCAAAATCTGATCTGAATGCATACCTATTTTCCAAGAGTAACTGTCGCAGGAGCAAGGATTCAAAACCCTAATTTATAATCCTAAGCTCGTCGAGATTCAGACGAATTTCTGGTGGGTGAGAGCCGAGTTTGGGAATTTGATCGGGGGACCTGTTTGCGAAGATTGGGCGTTGGCTTCGAACATTTTTGTAACATTTGGGGAGGAAAATCAAATGCCGGAGGAAGATTTGGTGGAGGTGAAGTTCAGATTGTACGATGGAACGGACGTCGGCCCTTTCCGCTATTCGCCGGCGGCTACTGTTGCGATGCTTAAAGAGAGGATTTTGACCGAGTGGCCTAAAGGTAGTATTTTTTTTTTATTTTTTTTTTATTTTCACTACTTGAGCTTTTGTGTTTGATTGCAATGTATATTGGGCTTGAAAGTAATTTTTGTTTGTGGGTTTGTTTGTGCAAGTCGGCGTGTTTGATTAGATGGCAGTTATTGACTGACTCATGAAGCTTATAATTCTTGAAGCTTAAGAGTGGAAGTGTATTTTTAAGTTTTTGTGTTTATTACAATGAATATTGGGCCAGATAAAGCAATTTTTGAGAGTGTGTGCAAGTGAGAATGTTTGATGAAGCTTGTATATATCATTTGATTTCAATCTGCACATGTATTTCTTGAAGCTTAAGAGTGGAAGCTTGGTGTGAGTTTTTCGGAGCATCAAGTTTTGCTAGTATTTCCTTTCGGGGCCTGAGGTCCGCAGAAGTTCTGAAAAATTTAGGATTCTCATCATGTGAAAATCTTGTGTGTGCCTCACAAGTCTGAGCAATGAGCATCCTTGATTTGCTTGAGGAATGTATACTATAAATTTGTAGTCATATAATGTCTTAAAAGTATGACTTTTGCGTAATTGAATTCAATTTGTCGAATATCATCAGACAAAAGAATTTCACCGAGGGCAGCAAACGACGTGAAATTAATAAGTGCTGGGAAAGTTTTAGATAATAACAAGACTGTTGGGGAGTGCAAGATGCCATTTGGGGATCTACCTAACGGAGTTATTACCATGCATGCAGTTGTACAGCCATCTTTGGCAAAAGTGAAAACAGGTAAAACTCCGTCGACTAATCTTGTGCTTACATTATACAAATCATTACCTGTTGAGTGTGTTTTTCTTTTCCCATTTTCGTGTATCAGATTGTTTGAGTTCTCTAGAGTTTCCAGTGAACTTTTCGATTTTAATGAGGAAATGGGATGAAAATGCAATCCATTAACTTTTCAATTTTTCAAAATCTTACGTGTTATTTTATTTATTATGAATAATTTGTACTGTGTTATTTTGGATCTAGGATATGTTGAGGTGTTGTCATTTGCCATGCCATTATATTACTGCTTCCAAATATGGGATTTACCATCTCTATTGTCTACCTAAATAAAATCCACACACTTTCGCCAAAATTTCAATTTTATTATTATGATTATCCTTCTGTTATAAACATGAAGCCATGTTATTATCTCAAAGGTGATGATATTAATTCTTTTATTCTGTATTTAGTTTCTCATCTAATTACTTAAACGACTGAAAATTCTGCATTGTGCCCCACAGAGAAGAAGGTTGATGAGATTCCGAAGAAGCATATATGTTCGTGTTCGATATTGTGAGTATAAGTTTTGATTAAGTATTCATCTTGTGGGCTTCTAAGTGGGGGACCTTACATACCCTGCCTGTGTCATCAGTGAAGCCTCAAAAAAGGGGACAATAACTTGTTAAAAGAACAATAATTTCACTACTCTTTGTATGCTTGATGGCATTTCTGTGTCACACATTTATTACTTGTTCTCATTGATTCAAGTTTCTACAATTTTTATGCTTGTCAATTCTCTTTATATTCAAGGAGAATACCTACCATCTGTGGGGTATTTTGATAATTCAAAATATATATTTACCTGTTTACATGATTCTCAGTTTATTTGAATGATTCTTTCTTTTTGGATGGCTCTTGTGGAAATATTATTGTCTGTGTGACACATACAAATGTGTGTAATTTTAAATAAAGCTAATAATATAAATAAAAAAATATATATATATTTTATATTTGTGTTATAATTCTAATAAACTAATCACACTTCAATAATTCACTTTTACTTTACAAAATAATATTTTTACACTATTGATATCTCTAAAAATGAAAGTAAAGGATATAAAGAAGATGCTCGGCTCACACGGTCGCTCCTATTATATGAAGGCAAACGATGATCTCCATTAAATTATATAGGTTCAAGTTCATCAGTTTTATGTTGAATTTAATTAATTAATTCCTTGAAAGGGCAATAAATGTTCTCACACGTGTGCTTGCGTTTCACATGATGTTCACTCGTGTACAACTAAATGCCAAATCCCATATATAGTTAGTTAACCTTGAGACTTGAGAGAAGAAAATATCTACATTTTGTTCCGTTCTTTTTTTCTAAGAGCATCTCCAATAGTTTCATGTCTATTTTGATATGTATGTTGTGGAGAAAAGCAATAAAAATAGTTTGTCTCCAATGGTGAATGTCAATTGTATAATGAATTGACACATGTAAGAAAATAATTGGTTGGTGTAGAAAGATATATAAAATAAATAATATAATATAGATAGAAGATGTCTAGAAGTCTTTCTACATCTAGAAAGACTTCTAGAAATTTTACATGCCACATTGGATTTTTCGAGACATGTGGCAATGGAATGGAAGAATGCACACTCCATTGGAGATGCTCTAACAGTACCAAAAACAAAGTCACAAATCAAGTCAATTTTAACTAATTCTATGAATAAATTTTAATCTTTCTAATGTAAAAGAAGGATAAAAGGCCATCTATACATGGCCAAAACCCAGGCCGGGTCGACCCGTCGGGTTGACGGCTCGAACACAATGACTCGGACCCGGCACAGACCTATACTCGTGCCGGGTCAATGGCCCGGTTGACCGGGCCGGGTCGTGTCCGGGCCCGTTATTTTTTTAAAAAAAAATAATAGG